CGCCGAGCCCCCCGTCCCCCTCCCCCCCCCCCCACTCCCCCCCCTCTGGCCCGAAAGGGGCCGTCACCCCCGCGCAGCTCGCCGCCCCGCCGAGGACTCTGGCCAGATAGCTGAGCTCGGCGGGGACCCCCTTGGCCTTCCGCCCTGCTCGCGCGCTGCCCTTTCCACTGGGCCCGCGCGCACAGGAAAAGCCAAGCACAGGGAGAAATGAAGGCGGTTGGTATTTCCCCTCCCCACACACTCGCACCCGCCCGCCTCTTTCCCTTATAATCTTCAACTGGCCTAAGATTAATACCAGGAGGTGTCTTAGGAAGGAAGGGAGCTTCTCCTCTAAAGACCATCGCTGGGATAATTTACTTAAGATGTTGACAAGACTGTCACGAAGCCTACTTTTTTATTATTATTATAGTTAAGACGAGCAGTGGCACAAGGCAGGGAGCGTTTGATTTTTTAAAAAGTAAGGTACATTAATTTTATGAGCGCCTTTCTCATAAATATTGTTGTTTGCTCTCCCTCCCCCGCTCTCTCTGGCGGGAGGGGGATTTGCAATGGAAATGATGCCTTTGTTTCAAGGGGGAGAAATTCTCTTTGCCGCTGGAATAAATTCCTCCGCTCCTCCCATCTACACTTCATAAAAATAAATAAATAAAACCCGACGCTTTTTGTCCTGTTTCACCGCCACCAAAAAAGAAGAAAGGAAGATCACCTCCTTTGCTTTGCTTTGTTGTGTCTGTCTTTCGCTTTTATACCCTGAAACCTATTAAACTTGCCGGTTCTGCTCCTAAAGCAGACAAAATAACTCTTTAAACTATAAATATTTAACTGTACCTGAGTTTATTCAGTGGCCCGAGTATCTCTTTAAAGGCAGGTGATTTATGCTTTTATTTGTGCAGTTAAAACTGTTTTGCTTGCCTTCCCTTGCCTTCCAAAGCGAGCTAGTCAAGCCCGCCACCTCTCCCTTTTAGCTGCAGCATCTCCAGAAAGGGGGCAACTGAGCGGCATCCCCTTTGAAATAGGCATTTAAGGAGACCCATCTGCCGCTCAGAGCCACCCAGAGATCCTCAATCTATAAGCCCGCAGAGATGGAAATTCTCGAGCACTGCAGGAACAAGAAAGCGGCTGATGCGCTTTAGGATTCGACTTGATCCCAGTTCGCAGGTCATCTCCTTTAGGTGCCTCGGAAAGACCAAGGGTTTGGCCCGCTGTGCTCTTAAATCTGAAGTCCCAGGATCTCTGAGGATTTGCCCCCGTCCCCTGAAACTTCATCAGCACTAGGTTCTTTAATTGTGAATTCCATTTATTCGACTCAGGTCTATTCGAAGGGCTCTCTGGAGCAAGTGGGCTTCGAGGGCGGGCGGAGAGACAGGCTTTCAGCCCCGAAGGAGCACCAGCGCTGCTATTTGGCAGATCTAATCGGGAAGACCCTAGCACCCTAGATTTGTGGCAAGTAGTGGGGACATGAGTACCACGATGAGATGCCCCCGCGCTTAACCGAGACTCCCTTTGGCTGCCGGATCAGCCGGTTTGAACACCGACCCCGTCGGACATTGTTCAGAATTACTTCATTCTGCGTTTAGTGCGGTCCTCAGTATGTTCCTTGAGAAGCTGAGACAACTGCTTTCTTCCTAGCTCGCGTGTTTAGGAATGCAGCAGCTTTCCTCCTTTCGATGTTTATTTTGTGCTGGGCTGGGGGAGGTCTTAATGGGGCTTCCAAGCAGCTGCTTATAATAAGATCACACCGCTAACGGATATCCAACATATACTAAATAAATGGAGAGCCAGACTCACGCTGGTATGTTTCACGGTCACCCTCAGATTTTATCGCATTTCCTAGTAGCAATATAAAATGATATAAAACACGGGGCCCTTAAAATAAATGCATAGCATTTATTCCAGAGGCGACCTCTTCGAAAACCCCTTTCGGAAAAAGAAGGCGGCTTCCTCGGTTCCGACCAGAGAAGCGAGTGCCTACGCGCAGCTTTGGAAGGACGGCGCGTTTCCCACCTTGCGCTTGTTTAACGTGGACCAGGAGCAGGTAACTAGGAGCAGGCTGGTCACCCTTTAACTCCGAGGAAAAGTGACGTTTCTCAAAGACATTGGGAAAAATTGAATGAAGGGTCTCGCTGTTTTTATTTGCGAGTCTTTATTTCATTATCTGACCCACCCACCCCTTCAGACAGGCGCCTTTAAAAAAAGATCCTCTAACCT